CCATGGTGGTCTATAGGTAATTGTTTTGGCCAATGCATAATGTAGACAGCGGCACACCATACCTAATAGTCAAACCAAAGGTGTCACTGTTTTTTTTTTTTTTTTTTTTTTTAAAAAAAAACACTGATGAAGAGTATAATGGTTCTGTTTTCAAGCTAAGGACTGATAAGGAAAGTTTTCATTTACATCTTATCCCTAGAGAAATAAAACAGAGGCACATAGATACTGTCATCTGACTCCAGGGACTTCCGTTTCCCCCAGAACAATGCAAGCAATGAATGAGTACTGTTTCTGATGGCTTATGACTAAAGTTAAACACTGTGATGTCCTCCAATCTCAGAATCTCTTCTGTAAGAGTTAGTTCAAGAGGACTAACAAGACCTTCATGGAAAGATCCAGCTGATGGGCATGAAGGTTCATTCCCTGTAGTTTGAGGAGCAGCTTTTGCATACCTGCATTATTTTTTAACCTTACTTCTTGTGTTTGACCTTTGTATACTGGAGATGTTTCATTGCTCCAGTTTTCAGAATAATTTAGAAATCACAACTTTAGAACATAATGACTTGCCCCAGTATTTTGTTATCACAATTCTCAAATTAACACAATGTCTATTTGGATTTTAACAACTGGGAAAAGTTAAGAAAAGCCCTTTTCCTTCAAAAGTCTGTATAATTTGGCTACAATTACCTGTACTTTCTGTAAAATGAAGCAATGTAATTCTTATGACCAAGCAAACAGTTGTTGGAGTCTTTTATCAGATTCACTTTCTGCTCATGCCAAGGGGGTAATTCTCTTTGTGTAAAAATGACTTTGAAGATTAATAAGTAACAGAATGGGCAAACTGTGGAATTATGAGCATTTAAAAGTTGTTTAATGTTTTTGTATGTATACACTTTGGGGGAAAAAAAGAGATACCTCAGTTGTTCTACATAGATTGCCTTAGGAGGAAGACATAAACTCTTGTGTCATTGATTCAGTCTTCAGTAAACTTGTGATGATCCATAGTGACCTCCTATTGAAAAGAAGTAGGTTTTAGGGCTCCCTGCCAACTACAGCAAGCTTCTAGTGTTTTATTTCAGGAAAAAAGTCTTAGCCAAGGAAGCTCTTAGGCTTCAGAGCCTGATGATCTCTGTTTAAACATGAAAGATGTATTGCAGGCAGGCTGTGAGCTCAGAGCTGATCAGGAAGCACCGAGTCCCAGGAGGTGGGGGTCTCCCCTCCCACCCCATGCACCCTCCTTCCCCAACTCTCCCTGCACCCTCCAACTGTATGAACAAGAGTCAAAACCAAGCTCTTGAATCCTTGTGTCTGCAGTGTTTCTTGTACTGGCAACACAGGGCTGTGTGTGTGTGTGTGTGTGTGTGTGTGTGTGTGTGTGTGTGTGTGTGTGTGTGCACGTGTGTGTGTGTTTCTTTAAGGATACATAATTTAAGTTATTTTTCTTGTACTTTTGAAAGCTAGCAAGATCCCAGTCATAAAAATAGAAACCAGGCTAGGTATTTTAAGCAGAGAGGAATTTAATAAAAGTGTGAGGGTTTGAGCTGTTTTGGAAGGACTGGAAAAGAAGGAGAGGACAGGGATCAGGAAAGACAGTTCCTGCAGTGTCTCGGTAGTCAGTCCCTGCCCCACTGGATAGCCATTACAGAGCTGGCACCTGCAGGGCAGTATCCCTTTGCCCCCATGTGGCCAGTCAGTGGTTACAAGAACTGACTGACTTGAAGGTAGAGCTGCTGCCTCAGCCAGAAGCAGAAAGCCTACGACTTGCCTGCCCTGTGATCTTGCACTGGCTCCCAACTGGTGCAACCTTACTAGAACCCTGTTGGCAAGGTAGTCTGGGAAATGTAGTTTCCATACTTCTAGCCCCCTGGGATGCAAAAGAATGCCCAGAAGGGCAGGCAATACCTGGCTCAGATGGCTATCATAGTAACTTTAGGAAATGTTTAATTATCATGGCACTTTAACCATTTAGACATTTATTTTATTTTATTTATTTCTGAGTTGGAGTCTTACTCCGATGCCCAGTCTGGAGTGCAGTGGCACACTTCCAGCTCACTGTAGCCTCGACCTCCTGGGCTCAGGTGATACTTCTGTCTCAGTATCCTGAGTAGCTGGGGCTATAGGTGTGCATCACCACTCCAGGCTAAATTTTTTATTGTTTGTAGAGACAAAATCTCACTCTGTTGCCCAAGCTGGTCTTGAACTCCTGGGCGCAAACAATCCTCCCACCTCAGCCTCCCAAATGCCAGAGATTACAGGCATAAGACACCATGCTGGGCCTGAACATTTATTTTAAATTAATTTTATTTTAATATGAAATATTAAAAAATATGTTTGACTATCTCTTTTATGAGATAATCAAGAAGATAACCGGTTTTATATTAAAGAGTATTTTATGGGTTTGAAGACTATCCAAGGGGCATTTTAATTCACATGTTCAAAAGCAGCCGTACAAATTTACTAAAAGACTAGTTCTTGATAGGCTTGCTGTGTCCTCTGTGAAAAGCAAACCTGGTCCCCCTGCTAGATAACCCAACTGCCTGAAGTACAGATGGATGAAGCGAATTCCACTACTTGGGTTTTTGTATTTGACACTGATTGATACTTTTCTAAAGTGAAATGTTGCATTTTCTCTGGTAATTAACTAGTCTGTTTGCTTTCTAAGATTTGATATACTTTTATTCTAGTTGCATGCTTTACATGCTTAATTCCAATGGTAAACTATTTCAGATAGGTAATCATCTGCTTGGTTGCTTCAAATAAAACTTGTGTACCTTGAAAAACCAAAACTGAAGATAAAAATCCTTTTACATTGTCATAACTACAACCATATGCATATATGTAAATCCCCTTACTTTTTTTTTTTTTTTTTTTTGAGTTGGAGTCTCTGTCGCCCAGACTGGAGTGCAGTGACCGGTCCCAGCCACAGCAGCCTCGACCTGCTGGGCTCTGGCGATCCTTCAGGCTCAGCCTTCTGAGTAGCTGGAATTACAGGCATGCGCTACCACGCCCGGCTGATTTTTTGATTTATTGTAGAGATGAGGGCTCGCCAAGTTGCCCAGGCGGGTCTTGAACCTGTGGGCTCAGACAATTCACTCACCTCAACCTCCCAAAGTGCGGGATTACAGACTGAGTCACCAAGCCCCGGCTCCTTTACTTCCTTAATCTCCATTGACTGGCTCAGTAACTCTGCGAGGGGTGGGCTGCTGCTGCCTCCAACTTGTTTTCCAACTGTGTTAGATGACGGGTCATTAGCTATAGCACCAAGTCAAGAAGTTGGGTTTTATAAATGAATTTAACAGTTTGCTTATGAATATATATTTATTTATGAGACTACTCACAATTCTTATTCCAACAATACTGTTTTTCTCTATGTACTACAGTCTAACTCTGGTTTTCAAGCTGAGGTAAACATACCATCTGGAGATTTACACAGACAATCACGGGTGTTGGGAGCCTGGATACTTTTAAAGGAGTCAACTTTCTGATCCTCAACTCACAGATGTGCCTGAGAATATGCTTATAATGGGGATACAGATCCCTGTCCAAAATTGTCCTTTTCCCATTTTGCAAAATGAATCACGCCTCTCTCCCATTTTACTGTGATTCATTGATTTGGAGTTTTAAAACCTGTGGGGAACCAAACGATGGTACAATTTGAACTATTGTTCTAGTATTAAGAAAGCAAATGACAAATGACTTAGCTGAACAACTTTGCATAAGTCTGGTGGTTTCCATTTTGTTCCTTAGAGCAAAATTGTAGGAGAACTTACATGCCACGTTGGCTAACAGAAAAAAAAAATAATAATTTGATGCTGGATCACTATGTGAATCTTGACACATTGCTGAGAAGGTCAAATGATTGAGTAACATGGCTGTAACAAAATTCTCTCCATTCTCATTAATTTATTTAACCAGACAAGTTTTTTTTGGTCCACAAATTTATTCAAATGAAAAACAGGAATAGAATTGATGTTGATCCTCAACTTATTCTATTAATAAGTAATGCTAATCCACACATTTCATGACCTAACTGGAAAAACCCAGCCCTTCTAAACATTCTTCTAGAAATGTAGAAGTACATTTCCAAAAAAATTGTACTCCTGTGTAATTATTTCTCAAAATTCATAATATCTTATGTTTATCAATTATGATCTAAAAGTAACTGCAATTGTAGCCCAATAAGAAAAAAGTTAATATTTAGAAACTTACTGTCACAGAAAAATTTTTAAAATTAAATGTCAACTTATATAGATAACATTGCACACAGAAATATGATGAAGCAATAAATAAACCTTTTCTGCATATAATATATATTAGGAAAAAATATTTGATAATGAAAATAAGAAGAAAAAGAGAAAAAAGGTTGCTGTCAAATTTTAGACTGTTAAATAATTCTTTTTACTGGACAATTGCAACTGTCCAATTGCTATGGTATTGATACACTATTGGGTATGCTTAAAAGAATGATGTGATAACATCATTTTAAAATATCAGTATTTATAGTATACTGAAAATTGCATCATTTGTGGTTACTTAAACTGACACAGAAAATATTTATGTATCAATAAAAATATGCATGTGACACATTTTAAAAATTTATCTAAGGAACATTATGAGCACAAATGTTTAAGATCATTGGCCAGGCATGGTGGTTCCCAACAGTATGAGAGGCCAAGGCAGGAGGATCACTTGAGCCCATGAGTTCAAGACTGTCCTAGTCAACATAGTAAAACCTCAACTCTACAACAACAACAAAAAATTAAGTGGGTGTAGTGGCACTCACCTGTAGTACCAAGTACTTGAGAGGTTGAAGTGGGAGGATTGTTTGAGACCAACAGGTTGAGGCTGCAGTGAGCCAGGATTGTGCCACTGCACTCCAGCCTGGGTGACAGAGTGAGATCTTGTCTCAAAAAAAAAAAAAGGTTAAGAAAAGATGGGTGTTTTGAAGATAAACATTCCCACATGTCCCCATGTGTGTCTTCTTTGTTTTGCAGTTTGACCTCATCTGTGACAATGCATGGATGCTGGACCTCACCCAGGCCATCCTGAACCTTGGCTTCCTGGCTGGAGCATTCACCTTAGGTTATGCCGCTGACAGGTAGGGACAAACATGGTGTTCATTTCCCATCACTATAATACAATTCATAAATATAAAGAGGAAAAGGTTTCATGCTAAGTATTAGAACAATATTTTTACTAAATTTGGAAACAATTTTTGACTCCACCACTCGTGACATTCTCACTTGTTTGGTTTGACTAACTTTTTCCTTCTCCAAACTTCATTTCCTTGAACTGTACAAAGATGTGAGAGGCTTGAAATATAGACCCACAAGGTAGTGACATTGCGGTTGAGTTGACTCATTATTGTACTGAATAGTGCAGAATAGATTCGGTGCCCTTCAATAACAACTCGTTGGTTGTGCTTTGATTAATTTAGTCAGAAGATTAGCCCCTTCCAAATTTGTTTCACTTAATTAAAAAAAGAAGCTATGGTATTTTACTTCACAAATTCAAAACCCTGTGAAAAAGGATGGTTTTCAAAAAAACTATTCAAGGTTTTTATCCATTCAAAACCATTTATCTATTAACTTGTACTCATACATGTAACTGATTAATGACAGACATGGGGAGTATGTGTATTCAAGAGTGTCATGCTTCCTACTTAAATATTTTTGTTCTGATATTATTAATGTCAGTTGTGTTCATGTTTAACTCTATTCTTTTATCCCAATTTTAACTACAAAAAATACTTTCAGCCATTTAATAATCCTCTCTATATCTCTCAGAAGATGCACAGACCGGTAAACTTTGGCTGTTGGCCATATCTGGCTTAATAGTCATGTTGTTACTCCATCCCAGCCCTTGAGCATTTCTCCTTAAAGAGGACTTGATGCTTTGGAGAGGATAAGCCAGACCTGGGAGAAAGATAAGCCATGAATAATTCTGCCTCCTGTCAGGGCTGCCTAGCTCTTGGGTTCTTCTCTTCCTTCATATTCATGATTTATATCCTTGAAAAAAAGGACAAGAAATAACTTAATGGGAATTTGTCTGTGAGAAGATGGTGTGAGGGTAGAGAGTGAATTCAAAAATCTAGACTGGAGCTTCCAGTTTCTGGTTCAACACAAAAGGAGCTTGAAAGTTGCTATTCAATCCTAACAGGTAAAAAGCTGAACAAGAAAATTAACAACTGTTCTTAGATATACAAAAGTGAGATCCCAGGGTAAATTGTGCCCCCAGGCCTCCAATTAGAGAGACTGGTAAATATAGAGAATCATAACCCAAGAGCTGAAACCTCCTGTGGAGTGCCAGGGTAGATAAACTGGAACTGTAGTTGATGAATTTATGGAGGCTCAGTGTGAACAAGCTTGCGAATTAAAAACTTCCTAGGCACCAGGCAAAAAGGCCTCATGCTGTTGCGACTTTGGTCTCCTGGAGCTCTACTGGGTTCTCAAAGAGAGTATCAAGGAAATTCTCTTATGCTTCTTGCAGAGGGAGGAGAAAAGGAACCATTTTGAAATATGCTAGAGCATTCTGTTCTTCTTGACAATGTCTACCCCCGGGAGAAGCGATCTAACCAGAGCCTAACCAGCTGGGGTTTTCTCAGAACCCCATTGACCCGAGGGAAGGGAAATACTCCAGTCCCTTCCAGCCTTCCAAGTGGAGAAAGGAAAACACCCAATTCTAACCCCCTCTATGTCTGGGAAAAAGGAAATACTCAACTCCAGTCCATTCTAGCTATCCTATCCCCAGCTGGGAGTGGGGAATGAAGAGGCAGAGAAATACTTGTAAGTTTCATTTCAGAGACACAGGCTCCCCAAAAGATTGAAACCTACTCATGGGAACGTAAAATGCTTTTCTTCCATCTACACCTCATCACCACATCACTAACGGCCTATGCAGTGTCTTTCAACTGTCAAAAAATTACAAGGTATACTAAAAGTAAAACAACACATCAACAAACAGTTTGAAGAGACAGAGAAAGCCTTAGAACCAGACTCATATGACAGGGATGTTGGAATTATCAGACAAGGAATTTAAAACAACTGTGGTTAATATGCTAAGAGTTCTAATGGAGAAAGTATACAGCATGCAGAAACAAATGAGTAATGTAAGAAGAGAGATGGACATTCTAAAAGAGAATTAAAATGAAATGATGAAAAACACTGTAAAAGTAATAAAGAATGTCACTAATGGGATTATTGGTAGACTGGGCATATGAGGAAATAATCTGTGAAATTGAGAATATCTCAAGAGAAACCCCCAAAATTGAAAATAAACAGAAAGAAAACTCAATAAAAAACTGCGGGACTATTACAAAACATATTACGTGCATGTAATAGGAATACAAAAAGGAGAGGAAAGAAACAAAAGAAATTGAAATAATAGTGATCAAGAACTTTCTAAATTAATGTTAGACAACAAACTACAGATCCAGGAAATTCCAAGGAAATCAAGCATGATAAAACATAAAAAGGTACACCTAAGCATATCATATTCAAAGTATAGAAAATAAAAGATAAAGAAGAAATTCTGAAATAAGCTAGAGGGGTAAAAACCTTTACTACAGAGGAAGCGTAATGGTTTTTAAAAAAATTACATCCTACTTCTCATCAGAACTCATGTAAGTAAGAAGAGAGTGCAGTGAAATATTTAAAATGTTGAGAGAAAAAAACCCCAAAAAATACAAAAAAAACCAATCTAGAATTCTGTATTCTTCAACATTATCCTTTAAAAGTGAAGAGAAATACGTTCTTAGACAAACAGAAATTGAGGGAATTTGATGCCAGTAGACTTGCCTTGCAAGAAATGTTAAAAGAAGTTCTTTAAAGGAAAGGCAATTATATAGGTCAGAAATTCAAATCTACATGAAGAAAGAAAAGGCATTGGAAAGGAATAAATGAAGGTAAAATAAAGCTTTTATTTTTCTTATTTTTAATTGATGTAATCAATAACAGTTTAAAGTAATAGTAGCAACAACTTGTCTGATTGTGTATGCTTATATATATACAAGTGTGTATATATATAATGTGTATGCTTATGTAGACCTATATATAAGTTAAATGACCTATATAAAAGTTAAACTGTAATGGTACAAGAGACAGGAAGGAGAAATTAGGATTTGTTATTTATAAGGTATTAGCACTATCCATGAAGTGGTATAGTGTTATTTGAAAGTGGACTTAGATTAATTATAAATGTATACTGCAAACTCTAGGGCAACCACTAAAAAAACTTGTCTAAACAAACATTACTGATATGCTAATAAAGAAGAAAAAAATAGAGTTATATGAAAGGCTTAATTAAATCACAAAGGCACAAAAGGTGTGGAAGACAAAATAAGAGTAAAGAATAAGGGCAACAAATAAAAAATAATAAACATGGTAGACATTAATCCAATTATGTCAATAATCCCTTTGAGTGTAATGGAATAAATGCACCATTTAGAGACTGTCAGAGTGGATCAAAAAACAAGATCCAACTATATGTTGTCTGCAAGAAACTCACTTCAAATGTAAAGATACATGTAGATGAAAAGTAAATGTTTGGAGAAAAGTGCATCATGCTGACAGTAATCAAAGAAGGCAGAAATAGATATGTTAATATCAGAGCAGACTTCAGATGAAGGAAAGTTATCAGGAATAAGAAGGGATATTATATAATGATAAAGGGGTCAATTCTCCAAGAAGACATAACAATCCTTAATGAGTGCCTAACAACAAAGCATCAAATTACAAGAGGGAAAAACTGACAGAACTGCAAGGAGAAATAGATGAACCCACTATTATCATTGGAGATTTCAACATCCCTATATCAAAGATAGATTCAACAGGCAGAAAATTAGTAAGGGCACAGTTGAACTCAATAATACTTCCATCAACTAGATATAATTTATATCTATAGATCACTTCATCTCACAACAGTAGAATTCACATTTTTCTCAAACTCATATGTGATATTCAAGATAGATCACATTCTGGGCCATAAAGCATACCTTAACAAATTTAAAGAAATAAAAACCATGTAGTGTTTCCTTTCAGACCAAAATGGAATTAAACTAGAAATAAATAACAGAAGGATAGCTAGAAAATCCTCAAATACTTGGAGACCAAACTATATGCCTCTAATAACACATGGGTCAAAGAAGAAATCTAAAGAGATATTTTAAAATGTTTTAAACTAAATAAAAATGGAAACACAAAAGATTATCACAAATATTGGAATGGGACTAAAAACAGTGCTTAAAAGGAAATTTATATTATGTAACGTATATAATAGAAAAGAAGAAATATAATCTAAAACTAATGTAAACATTCACCTTGAAATACCAAAAAATAAGAGCAAATTAAATCCAGAGTAAGCAGAAGAAAAAAACAATACAAATTAAGGAGAAATCAATGACATTAAAAACAAAAAAATCAATCAATAGAGAAAATAAACAAAACCAAAAGCTGACTCTTTGAAAAGATCAATAAAATCAGTAAGTCTCCAGTTTTCTTAGGTTAACTAAGGAAAAAGGGAAAGACAGGACACAAATGACTAGCAATGAAAGAAGGGACATTACTGCAGATCCCACGGACATTAAAGGGACAATAAATAAATACAATGAACAACTCTATGCTCACAAATCTGATGACATAGATGAAATTGTGACCAAGTCCTTGAAAGACACTAACTGCCAAAACTCACACAAGAAGAAACTGACAATCTGATATAACTATATCTATTAAACAAATTGAATTAGTAATTAATGACCTTCCCATACAGAAAACGCTAGGCCCAGATGAATTCACAGGATTTGGTGAATTCTACCAAACATTTAAGAAAGAAATTATACCAATTCTGTGAAACCTCTTTCAGAAAGTAGAAGTAGAAGGATTATTTCCTAATGTATTCTATGAGGCCATCATTATATTAATACCAAAACCATATAGAAACATTATAAGAAAACTACAGAACAAGATCTCTCATGAACATAGATGCAAAAATCCTCAACAAATTATTAGCAAGTAGAATCCAACAGTATATTACATGTGAGCTATAGAATCCAACAATGTACTACAACCAAGTGAGATTTGTTTTAAAAGTATGCAAGCCTAGTCTAACATTCAAAAGTTAATGTCATCTATCATGTCCATAAACTAAAGAAGAAAAATGACATGATTGTATCAATAGATACAGAAAAAAGATTTGACAAAATCCAGCATCTACACATGATAAAAACTCTCCATTAACTGGAAGTAGAGGGAAACTTCCTCAACTTGATAAAGAGTATCTACAAAAAATCTACAGCTAGCATCATACTTAATGATGAGAAACTAGAAGCTTTCCCACCAAGGTCAGGAACAAGATAAAGATGTCTCCTCTTATCATTCCTTTTTAATGTGGTACTGAAAGACCTAGCTAATGCAATAAGATAAGAAAAGGAAATAAAAGATATATTGAATGAGAAAGAAGAAATAAAACTGTCATTGTTCACAGATGACATGATTTTCTATGTAGAAAATCCAAAATAATTGGCAAAAATCTTCTGAAACTAGTAAGTGATTATAATGAGGTTGTAGGATACAAGGTTAATACACAAAAGTCAGTCACTTTTCTATATACCAGCAATGAGCAAATAGAATTTGAATTTAAACATATAATATCATTTACATTAGCACCACAAAAAATGAAATATGTATAAACCCAACAAAATATTTACAAAATCTATGTGAGGAAAACGATAAAACTCTGATGAAAGAATTTTTTAAAAAGCTAAATAAATGGAGAGATAGTCTATGCTCTTAGATAAGAAGATTTAATACTGTGAAGACACCAATTTTTTCCAACTTGATCTATATATTCAACATAATACCAATCAAAATTCCAGCAAGCTATTTTGTGAATATTGACAAATTAATTATAAAGTTTATATGGAGATACGAAAGCCCCAGAACAGCCAACACGATATTGAAGGAGAAGAATAAAGTTAGAGGACTAACATTACCTGACTTAATATAAAGCTACAGTAATCAAGACAGTGTGGTATTTGTGAAAGAACAATACACTGGAGAAAAGATAGCCTTTTAACAAATGGTGCTGGAACAACTGGACATTTACATGCAAAAAAAGGAATCTAGACACAGACCTGGCACCCTTTAAAAAGTAAATTCAGAATGGATCACAGACCTAAATGTAAAACAAAGAACTATAAAACTCCTGAAAGATAGAATAGAAAAAATCTACGGCTTTGGGTTTAATGATGACTTTTTAGATACAACAACAAAGGCATGATCCATGAAAGAAAGAATTGACAAGCTAGACTATATTAAAATTAAAATTTTCCACTCTGTGAAAGATATTGTCAAGAGAATGAATGAAAAGACAAGCTGTAGACTGCAAGGAACATTTTTGCAAAACGTCTGTCTGATAAAGAACTGTTGGCCAAAGGATACAAAGAATTGTTAAAACTCAACAATAAAAAAACAAGCAACCCAACTAAAATATGGGCCAACAGACACCTTACCAAAGAAAATATACAGATGTCAAACAAACATAGGAAAAGATCACATGTTATCAAGGAAACGCCAATTAAAACTACAATGAGCCACCTACCATTCCATATCTATTAGAATGGTCAAAATCCAGAACACTGAAAACACCAAATGCTGGTATGTAGAACAACAGGAACTCTCATTCATTGCTGGTGGGAATGCAAAATGGTACAGTGATTTTGGATGATGACTTGGCAGTTCCTTACAAAATTAAGCATATTCTTATCATATGGTCCAGCAATTGTATTCCTTGGTATTCACCCAAAAGAGTTAAAAACTTACGTTAAAAAAAATCAGCACATGCATGTTTATAGCAACTTTTTTTATGATTGCCAAAAACTGGGAAGCAACCAAGATGCCCTTCAGTAGGTGAATGGATACATTGTTATGTGCTGACAATGGGATAGTATTCCATGCTAAAAAGAATGTGTTATCAAGCCACGAAAAGACATAGAGGAAACTTAAATACACATTACTAAATGAAGGAGGCCAATCTGAAAAGTTCACACACTCATGATTCTCACTATATGACATTTGAGAAAAGCAAAACTATGGAGACAGTAAAAAGGTCAGTGGTTTGCAGTGGTCTAGGGACAGAGGGATGAGTAGGAGAAGCACAGAGGATTTTTAGGGCAGTGAAACTACTTTATATGATACTCTTATAGTGGACACGTCATTACACACATGTCAAAGCACAGGATTTGTAACACCAAGAATGAACCCAAATGTAAACTGTGGACTTTGGGTGATTGTGATGTGTTAATTTAGGTTCATCAATTAATTTAGGTTCATGTCCCACTTCAATGGGGTATGTTGATAAAGAGGGAGACTGTGTATGTGTCCGGGCAGAGGGCATATGGGAACCTCTTTGTTCTGGTCAATTTTTTTCTGCTGAATTTTGCTGACCATCTAAAACTGCTCTAAAAAATAAAATCACTTAAAAAATCTAGATAAATGTATACTACTTTCATCTCTGCTCTTCTGACTCAAGCAAGATGCTATACATATACATTTTATGGAAATTTCTATGACAAAGTGTAATAGGATCAAACCTCTTGATAATCATTGACAACAAACCTTCACCAGCCAATAATATGACCCAACTATTCTGATCCAATTACCCCAGACAGTCAAAATGTTGTGCATGATAGCCTGTTCCTTTTTCTGAAGCTATTAATAATAGTTATGTAAATGGCAAAAATAAAATACAGAAACTAAGAAGAACTCATATTGGCTATGAACTTTGTGTTTATAAAGATCTTTCACATGAACATCTCATTTGATCTTTTCAACATCTTCACTTTAGAATAGGTAGGGGAAAACAAAATAAAACAAAAAACAAGCAAACAAAACTTGAATTTTGGAAAGTTTAGGAATTAGCCCAAGGACGTATGACCGATGGCTGAGCTGAGACTCAAGGTCAGGCCTTCTGCTGTAATTCACCATTGTTACTTCTTTTTTATTCCTCTCTCCTTATGACTCAACCCACAAAAATGCTAGTAGTAAGTGTCACACTGATGCTACCAGGGAGACTCTATGTGAAACAGTTGCTTTAAGAGGGTCATCTTTGGGGAAAGTACAGTCACAAAGCACACATTCCATGCTTTAAATTTTGCAATGTCATTTCAGAGGCATGGGTTTTATTTGCCATGGTTTTGTCATAAAATAAAACTTGGGGTTTTCAACAATCTTTTACTTTGTAATAATGAAGCTATAGAAGACTTTTTCTGTGCTTAAAACTTTTTTTTAACAACCCTACAATGATAGCTTTTCCCATGGTGTTGAATAAAATGTTTAAGATGAGCTGTCTTTTCTTCTCTCTCAAAAAGGTATGGCAGAATAGTCGTTTACTTAATATCCTGTCTTGGTGTTGGCGTCACTGGTGTTGTGGTGGCTTTTGCACCGAACTTCCCTGTGTTTGTGATCTTCCGCTTCCTGCAAGGTGTGTTTGGAAAAGGGACATGGATAACTTGCTACGTCGTTGGTAAGACATTGTTACACCTTCTTTATTTGAAAAGTAGGTCAGGTGGCTGAGCGGTGATAGTTGGCCTTCCCCGTGTATCCTTTTTTTTTTTTTTTTTTAGACTGGAGTCCAGTGGCACGCTCCCGGCCACTGCAGCCTCCACCTGCTGGGCTCCGGCGATCCTTCCGCCTCAGTCTTCCAAGTAGCGGCAACTACAGGCGCGCGCTACCACGCCCGGCTAATTTTTTGATTTATTGTACAGATGAGGGTTTGCCAATTGCCCAACTGGGTCTCGAACCCGCAGGCTCAGGCAATTCACTCACCTTGGCCTCCCAAAGTGTGGGATTACAGGCTGAGCCACCGCGCCCGGCTAATGTGTATCCTTTAACAAGGAAGGTTTGATTGCATTTCTGCAAATAGGAGAGCTCGGGGCAGGATGCTGACTGCTTTGGAAACTAAAATGCCACCTTACTTTGGGAACCACATATGGAATATCATAAAATACTGGGGTGAACCACTTTCAAATACACTGTTATCATGTAGTTTCTAGCTTTGCTTTAATTAGAAATTAATTTTTATAAAAATTTCAGTAGATCCTTGAGACAACACTTTTAAAGCATTTTCTGTGTATTCTGTTCCGTGATACAGCTTGGAATTACTTTCCTTGTTCTCAAATAGTACTTAACTCTCCTCTTTCTGTGCAAGTGGAGAACTTCTTACTATGTGGGAAATATATCTTAAAACTGGGAAGTTCATCTTTGATCCTTTGCTCTCTTCCATAACGAGAAAATTTGATCTTTTGGGTATGAAAGAAAGAAAAACTCTTCGCTTTTTGTTCATATTACTTGGGAAAATCCTGGCTACTCCCTTTGGCTCTATTTCTTGTCCAGGACCAACCACCTACCTCGAGTCATAATGGATTCTTGACCAGGAAAATATGAATTCTCATCATAGATTATTGCTCCAAATATTTGGTGTCCACTCTTTTCCATCACTGCTGTACAATCTCTGAGAGTGCCTACTTTGGAGACCTTTTGAAGATCTTTCTATAGGTGGGAGAAAGAGAGAAGAGTGTTAGGAGGGGTTGGTTGTCACTGACTGGAGCAGAAGGGATAACTTTGGAATGTGAGGCATTTTTAAGGGGACCTAAATCTAGGCTGATTTTCCAAGTTGTAATTTTAGGGCAGCAATACTGTAGCATATTCTAGGATGATCAGAATGGAAGAACCCACAGGAGGGGAAAGGATTCCAGCAATAAAATCTCCCGCATGATTTTTAAGGAAGCCTCACATAAGTGAAAAATCTAACACTGTAGAGAGAATTATCATTTAATAGAAACCATCTTGCATTAATGAAAAGTACTTGCAGAGTCTAATGTTCATAATGAATCTCCTAAAGAAACTGTAACATGCAAATCTTTAGAAATACAGCAACAAAATTTAGCCAGCTTACTATATTCATGCTTTGATAATCCCATTTACCTTTCAGAATAATCATCATTGAGGCTTTGCTAAAACCAACACATATATACTCTGTATTCCTCTGCCATACCCAGAAGAGTGCTAGGCTAGGTGTATAAATGGGATGTGGCCGATGTTTTTGCTAATTGACAGAGAAGAGCATGAGAGAAAAGCATATGGTATCAGGAAAACACAGCTCCATCATTTCAGCAAGTCTGGAAGCCTCAGTATCTTTGAGTTCTAGAGTGTTCTAGCAATGCCGATGGATATAACAGGTGTAACACCTCTGTATTTGTTTGTTTGTTTTTGGAGCTGTTTTTGAGTTTCCTTAACCTCTTCTGTTTGTTTTCCTTCAGTGACAGAAATAGTAGGTTCAAAACAAAGGAGGATTGTGGGAATAGTGATTCAGATGTTCTTCACCCTGGGAATCATAATTCTCCCTGGAATCGCCTACTTTATCCCCAATTGGCAAGGGATCCAGCTAGCCATAACGCTGCCCAACTTTCTCTTCCTCCTTTATTACTGGTAATGTGGTTTTGGTCACTATCATACTTACACTTAGCCCATAGAAATGTAGCATTCAAACCAACATGAAAATGAAAGCAATACAGGAGACTTACTAACATCTTCAAAATGGTCATGTGTTTTGAGAATTTTTAGAGAATTTGGGGGATTTGTAGAAGTTATTAATTATTAAACTAATAGTTGTCATTAAAAAGAAATTAATAAAATACCAGAACACAAAATTTTAAATAGCATATTGCACTATGTTTTATTATTTGCAATGTCTTCATGAAAACTATAAGGCAACAAACCCTATCTGTCAGTATTTCAACATGCAAACTAAATGCAATGAAATCTATTTGCTTCTCTGTATGTTCTATTAAGCAAATTAGTATTACTCAGGAATTTTCTGAGGGATAAGAAAATATTGAGAACCTTAAAAAATCATGGTACCACAAAGCTATAGGGGTAAGCATTTGATTTTTATTGGAATGAACATAATTTAAAATTTTTATAATTTAATTTTAATAGATGAGCAAGTTGGTTTGTATAAATCAGGTTCTTCATCTTTTCCTACTTACTAAATCACAACTCTTTTCATATACATAATCAAAGAGACTTGATTGTAGGATAGCATGGTTTTCCAAGAGCAATGTCATGGCATGTTGATTATTTTGATGAGCAACAGTCCAATGGTTGAGTGAGCATGTTTTTTCCATCCAGTATAACCTTGCAAGGATGATCTGCATTTCACAGGGCCTGTTATAACTCTCATGGTCTCCAAAACTTGGGTCTCATCTCAAGATCGATTTTGATAGAAAAGCTGAAGTCATAAACTTTTAAGTTTTGAAATTCCTGGGTGTAACTCACAAAAGCCTCCCTTTCTGCCAGGGTGGTTCCTGAGTCTCCTCGCTGGCTGATTACCCGGAAGAAAGGAGATGAAGCCCTACAAATCCTGAGGCGCATTGCCAAGTGCAATGGGAAATATCTCCCGCCAGATGACACAGAGGTGATTTTACTGATTACTACTAACAAATATTGTTAAAATTGGTGGATTGATTTCTTTGTCCCTTATGTATTTTATTTTTTGAATTTTTTTATTTTTTTATTTTTTTTTGAGTTGGAGTCTCACTCTGTTGCCCAGACTGGAGTGCAGTGGCCGCTTCCGGCCACCGCAGCCTCAACCTGATGGGCTCCAGCGATGCTTCCGCCTCAGCCTTCCAAGTAGTTGGAATTACAGCGTGTGCTACCATGCCCGGCTAATTTTTTTATTTATTGTAGAGATGAGGTCTCACCAAGTTGCCCAGGAGGGTCTCGAACCTGCGGGCTCAGGCAATCCATTCACCTCAGCCTCCCAAGGCGCGGGATTACAGGCTGAGTCACCGAGCCCGGCCCTTATGTACTTTAATTTTGTTTCTCCAAATCATGTGTGTGTGTGTGTGTGTGTGTGTGTGTGTGTGTGTGTGTGTGTGTGTGTGTGTGTATGTGTGTCTATGTGTGTGTGTGTGTGTGTGTGTGTATTTAGTTAAGTCAAACTGAAAATGACTCAGATGTTTGATTTTATATAAAATTTTATATAAA